AAGCCGCATCATCCTCGGCCGCCTCGTCGTCAGAATCGCATCGGGCCAGCTCCGAGTCCTCGAGCAGCTCCCTCTCTTCACCCTCGGGCAGGGGAATCCGAACATCTGGTAGGAGCGGGGGGAGGCCGTGATCTTCTGGTTTGAACTCCTTCGGGTCTACGCCAAGGTGGCGGGCAAGCCTCCGGTACAACATGGCCTGCGTGAAGTACTGCCCGCCTTCGTAGAAGCTTTTGCCCTTTAGGGCGAGCCACATTGCACCGGGGCCCTTGACCCAACTATCTACCGAGGTTTCTACCACGGAAGCCCTCCACTGCTCCCGGCCCTCGGATTTCCACCCCTCCGCAAGGAAGAGGGCAACAGCATCTTCTTTGGCCTTGGCAACAGCCTCAGCCTTAACTTCCTCAGCCCTCTCAGCGGCTATCCTGGCGGCCTCAGCGGCGGATCTCTCGGCTTCGGCTTTCCCCTCGGCCCGGGCTTCCTCCTTGGCTGCCTCCAGCTTCTGTTCGGCTTGCCGAAGGGCTTCCTCCAGACTGGCCAGCTGCCGAATGGCCTCAGTATTATTGGCCACCAGCTTCCTCGTGACCTCATCGGATTGGGCCTTCTCGAGGCGGTGCTGTTCAGCCCTCCTCACGAGCTCCCCGAAGGCCAAACTAGCCTGCAAGCACATAAGGGTGCACCTGGGATCAGACTACGCAAAGGAAAGGGAGCGCGATAAAAAGAAATTTCAAGGTCCGAAATACTTACAGTAGCCGAGGCCTGAAGGGCCTTGTGCTCGAGGGCTTCGTCCCCGAATCGGCCGAGGGTGGTCCGATCCAGGGGGGGAGTGGCGCCCCTCAAGAATTCCCTCGGGTCGAGGGTGCCATGTAAGATAGCAGTCCCCTTCTTAATGGGGAACTGCACCTTCTCAAGGGGCCAAGCCCCTTCATCCAAGTCCGCCAGGGGCAGGGAGCCCGAGGGCTTGTCGGAAGGATGGTCGTCGATGATCACTACTGGGGGAGCCTTCTGTTCGGCATCCCCCCTCCTCTGTTTCTTCTCCGGGAGCGTGGTCCCCTTCCCGGTATTTTTTCTTTTGAGCTCCGGGACGTGGGAGCCTTCAGTAACAACACCAGCACCGGCATCCTTCGAGGGCCCCTCGCCCTCAGGTTTCTTTTTGGCATCCGGCTTCTGGAGAAATTCCTCCACAGCTCTCTGATTGGAAGGCCCCTCAGCCTTCTTCTTCTTCTCTTTGGCCAGCTTATTGGAAAGTCTGGCGAATGCTTTCGGGTCCATAATGTCGCCTGCCAAAACAAGGAAAGGGTTAGAATCACAACGAATCAAAGAAAATATGCTAAGTACAAAAACGAGGGCCCTCAGGAACAACCTCCGGCATTTCGATACCCTCGGTCAATCTCGGGGTATTTTTCGTCCGTCTCCCCCGGAAGGCGGTAACGCCGGAAGCCCAGCAAGTACAGCTCCTCAGGGAGCGTCGCCTCCTTGATGGTGATTACTTTGTCGGAACCCGGAGGCTTCTCGATGAGCTTCTTCCCAGCCTTGTCGAGGACTGCATTGCCCACCTTCGGGTGCCTCTTAAAATGATTGCGCAGGGCCCCCGGGAATGGGTTCTCGGCCACCCGGATGTAGCAGAACTTCTCTTTCCACTCTTTGTGGGATGAGGGGGTCTCGGAGAAGAGTTTCCACGCCGGAACCTGCTGGAGATTCGCATAGCCCCCGGCATGCGAATGCCCTCCCCGGCACAAGTTGAAGGAGAGAAAGAACTGGTCTAAAGTGGCCTCCACCTTCCGGCTCCGGCAGAGAGATAGGAACCCCGCCAGGTAATAGTGGCTGTTCGGGGTGAGCTGGCAGGGGGCCAGTTTCACGTATCTCAGGTACTCCAGGACGAAGGGATGGAGCGGGAATCTGAGCCCAAGCTCCACCGACAACATATGCACTGAGAAACACCCCTCAGGCGGGTGGGAAAGCAAGGCATCAGGCCCCGGCTCCACCACCTGCGCCGAAGGCCCCACCAGGATCTGGAGAGCATTATAATCAGCACTCGTAGCCGTGGTCTTCACCTCGAGGGCAGTGGTGTCCAGATAGGAGTGGCCCTCGGGAATCCCAACTGGCCGTCCCGCGTCGACGGCTGCTTGCTTCTTCTTTGGGGCAGCCCTCGCCTTCTTCTTCTTTCTGCCCTCGGCTACCCGAAGGGGTTGGACATCTAACGGCCGAGAGGTGCTCGCCTCACCAAGTCCCCGTGAGGGCATGACGGCAACCGTTACCCGACGGCGCTCCTTCTCCTCCTCCTCTTCAGCCACTTGGAGGGCGATGGCCATCTCTTCATCCTCCGCCACTTGCTCAAATTCCTCTGCCTCCATTTCTACCCGGAGGCTACTCTGTACCTCCTCAGCCACGGCAAGATCGTTGTCCATCGACGGCTGCTCACTCGAGGACTCCACATCCGAGTAGCTCTCCTTCTGCACCGACGGCTCCCTCGAGATATCTTGGGAATCGCTTTGTGAGGACATAATTCCGGAGGAAGGATAGGAGTTTGGTAGAGAGAGGCTACTTAAATGTTCTAACCGAGGGCTCCTAAGACCTCTAACACAAGATCTAAGGGAGAAAAGCAAAGTATGCTAGGAAAGCGAAGAACAAGGAAGAACTGACCTCAAAGATTGCGTTTGATCGAAGGCTGAAGTTTCTCTCTCTAGAAAAAATGGCAGAGCTCCGCTATCTCTCTAAGTTCGCACAAGAACAAATGAGCTCAGGCTCAGGGTATTTATAGGCAGTGGGCCTCGAGAACTGGGCCTCGATTTGAAAAGCCCATCATTACGGGCCGCCGCCTCAGCCAATGAATGACAGCCGCCCACCCCCAACCAACAAGGGCACGCCACGTCAACCCCTCCTCCAACGGCTATATTACAACGACTATATTCCGGCACCACTGAAGTGCCTTCGAATGATAGCCTCCGGCTATCACCCGCCACACCCTACGGACAAATAATTCCACCAAACGCCTTCGAGCCCGTAGCAGTATAAGCCTTCGGCTTGTCAATGTTATCACCCCTCGGGGGATCATCAACTCATCATAACTCCTTCAGCCCGAACTTGCCTTCGGCCTAAAGGAGTGGGAGACTGGGATACACCCCTCGAGGATCATACACAACCGAAAATTCTTCATGCAACAATTTACAATTGACGCATACGGCCTCCGGGCAAACATCACAATACATGCAGACAAGACATCTATGCTTTCCTCAGAAAACCCTCGACGTGTGAGGGACTGAGGGGGAGCCCCCGGCGAACATACGAAGGTTACGAGTACCTTCCCTCAGAAAACCCTCGACATGTGGGGGACTGAGGGAAGCCTTCGGCAATCAACAGAAGACAAGTTCTCAAACAAAGGCACCCAGACAGGCGATGAAGCCCCCGGAAGAATCATCACATCTACTCCTTTTCCCTCAAGTACCTTTTGGCAAAAGGAGTGAGGGACTCCTGATGGAGTATATGGCCCAGGAACCCCCGGCCCAAAGACTCCTACTAATATATCACAAGCCCAACAAGCTCAAGGAGCTCAGGAGGCCCAAGATTCGGCGGCCCAAGCGTCAAGAAGGCCACGGTACACACAGGGATGCCTTCGGCCACCTTGGCCGAAGGCTCCAGAACCCACAGAACTGCCATATTCGACCATGCGAAGCTACTGGGAGAAATTGACAGAAAACGGGAGCCCTCGGCACTATGGAGCCCTCGGCACCAGGGGAATCCCTCGGCTCAGCCAAGCCTTCGGCTACACAAGGAGCCCTCGGCTACGCAAGAAGCCTACGGCTGAACTAGCTCAATCATCGAAGATTCCTTTTAGAGACAGCCAACCACCGCATTTAATGCCACGTCGCATCCGCCAACCGCATTCAATGCGGTTGACGTACCACTGCCAGCACCACTAGGCTGATGTGACCCTTCGGCCGTTGGATTACTGACACGTGTCCCCTCATCGCATTTATTGCTGCTATAAATAGCAGCCTATTTCTCCTTGTAATGGAGACACAATCTACATCTCAACACCACGCTGAGTTCATTTAATAAAATCGACTCTCTCTCCTCCTATTTGCTCTGACTTCTCTCTAGTTATTCCCGCAATAACCCCTCGGATAAGATACCCCCCGGGTAGACTGTCCACCACATGCAATTCTAGAGCTCGGGCTCAAGTGCATCTCCTTACATGGGCTGAACCTAAACCTTATGTCTACCCAATGCAATTCTAGAGCTCGGGCTCAAGTGCATCTCCTTACATTGGCATAGACCCCAATTCATAAGCACTCACTATGCCTAGAATTGTCATACATAAAATTATCTTGGGACATCCTATGGACTGCCCCAACTCAGTGGCGGATCTTGCAATTAAATGTTGGGTGTTCGAAATTACTTTACCATTAAGATGTTATCTAATAGTACAATATATAAATTATTACATCAATTCTATACATGTATTTTTACACTTAATTTTCAAAATTTTGGGTGTTCACATGAACACCCCTGAATAAAGAAGGTCCGCCACTGCCCCAACTTAACCTTAGTTCACACTAAGACACAAATAACACTCGAAGTCCATCAAGTTCATCACAATACTATACAAACCCTAGGTTTGATTCTATCAACAATTCGAACAATCCTTAACTAGTATTTCATTACTATTAAGATTATTCTTACAAAAACATTTACTCACATATGGGAGCCCCTACATATTAATAATATGTGGCAGCCTCCCCATGTGTTCAATTTCATCATTCAAGTATTCGTTTACATAGGCATATCATGCATACATGAGTAGAAATGTCTATTTTTTACATAATAGCACATTTATACCTCATTTACTCCATATTCATCAATATAGTTTCAATTTATGATCAAGTCCATTACTTATCATGCATATCATGTTCAAGCATCTTTATTTATGAAAACATGATTTAAGCATTTAGGTAATCTCATGCATAACCTACAAGTTGTAAGCAACTAGATGTCGTCCTCACCTTAATGAGCTTTAGACTTACTTTCACACTCCAACGACCAAGGCTCGGCCAAGGAAGGTTGCGAGCTGACTCCTTGTGTAAAAATGGGTGGGCAGCAGCCTGCTCTTAGCAGCTGGCTCAACAGTCGGCTCTCAGCAGTTGGCTCAGCAGTATGCTCACCCCCTTAACTCACGAACTGAAAACAGCCCCTAGCAAGGGTGATTCCTGACGAGTTCGTGTCCTAACCGTTCAAGGTTCATTCAAGGTTAATGCCTAACCTTTAAACTCACATATATAACATTTCAAGAATACATTCTACCCTAAGAACAAGGTAGAATAGCCTCCTAAACCTTACATACGATCTATGTAAAGAAGAGGAAGTTTTCGGGTTCAACTCACCTCTAGAGAAGAAGAAACCCTGCTGCGAGCTCGTACTTTCCAACGCAGATTTGGAAGCCTTCCACAACTCTAATCGTCACGATCCACACCATTCCAGAATCCTCGTTTTGAGATCTTTCTCTGGACACCTCATACGCCTGATTTGAACAAGTGAAGCTCAAGATATGGGCTAAACAATCAACCCTACGCACAGTGACAAAAACTGCGAACTGCTCTCCCTTTTCTCTCTTTCTTTGTTCTGATTGGTTCTCTTCTCTTAGAAGCCAAGTAAATCCGAATGGGGGGTACTAAGGCTGTCCCTTAGGCCTCCCAAAAGGTTATTCCTCTTGTGTGGAGTGGGTTGAGTGAGGTGTGGATGATTCTCCACCAAGTCTTACTAAATAAGTACAAATGGGGTCCAACCCTTATCATTTTATTCTCTACACAACCCCACTCCATCATGGTTCGCCCCAAAAGTCAACATACCATATTCTCTGTCTCGTAAGTGCCAAGGAGGTGTGGGACGCACCCCCTTCGGTCCAAGTCAGCCCGGAAGGAAAATCCTTACCGATAATTCCTTACAAAGGAAAATTGAGTCTTATTATTTGTGTCTTCGTAATGTGATTTCTCTCCATGTACTATCGGGCTCTTATACTAACTAAGATGGCCCACATCAGTATTTGGAAACTCACTCTCGAAACACGGATCCCAACGATAGGTTAACAAACACAAGTTACATCAAACACTACTCGTTTCACACAATGTCAAAGCATGAGTTACATACGATAACACACGTGTTACACACGGCTGGTGATTATAAGTTCAATACATAAATTACGAAACTTTCAAACAGTACATTCAGGTACACACGGGTGCCGTGTCACAGAGATGATTAAGAGTATTAGAGAATAGAGAGTAGGAAGAGTTGGAGAAGAGGTGTAGAAAATTGTATTGAAAATAAGAGTATATATAGAATTTTTTGGTACCCCCCACCCCCAAACACCCCCAGGACCCCCCTCAACGGCTATACAGCAGTTTGGGACTTTCTCAACGGCTAGGAAGCTGCCCAATCATTAAAAAAAAAAAAACTAGCCGTTACCGGCCCGAACCGGTTCCGGTCGGCGGGCCAGACCGGTACTAAACAAGGCCGGGCCGGTCGAACCAGTCTCGGCCATCCCTAAATTAGATCTTCAAATTTTTGTAAAAAGTTTGGCTAAAAGGTAATGCCGAATAAAAATGTAAGAATGTAATTAAATAACTATGTTGGGTGAATATATCGACAGTGCTAGATTATACTCCCTCCGTCCCTATTATATCTTCCAAATAGGTTTGGCGCGGAGTTTAAGATAGTGGGTATTGTGTGGTGGAGAGTTGTGCAGAGGAGAGAGAAATGTGTAAGAATTGCTGTGAACCACAAATTCTGGCCAAAAAAGGAAAGTGGAAGTTTTAATTGGGACGGACGAAAAAGGAAAGTTGGAAGTTTATTTAGGGACGGAGGGAGTAGAAGAAAACCGGATTGATGGATTAATATAGAGTTTCCACTTAAACAGTTAAACGGGTTGAGAGTTGAATTTATTGACGATGCATAGTTGTAAATAGCTTTTTAACTTCATATGTTCTTCAGATTTATTTTTTAATTTTATATATTCGATATTGGTGTCATATGAAAAATAATAAAAATTTATGAAACTTGATGCATAGTATATTTTTTTAAAAATTGGGACAATAGTATAAAAGTTATAGCACTTTAAAGAAAGAATGAAATTTGTAATTTTACATTGGCCTACCATCACCTCTTCCCATTTCTTTGTTGTTACTTAGAGTTTTACTAATCGCCACTTGATATGGCGGCTCTCTTTAACCATGATTTAGCCCAACAACAATTTGGTAAATATTTTTAACTTGACATTAGTTTCGTAAATAACTTTATTTTTAGCATTATTTTTTAAAAAAAACTCTAATATTGGTGTCATAAAAAATCCTAAAAAATTATGAATTTTGATATAGTATTTATAGAAATTGAAGTTTAAATAAAAAAATCATACTCTGTAATAATTAAAACAAAGTTGGGATTTTATTATTTCTTGGGCCCTATGACAGAATTCCTAACGCTAGAGCCGTATCCTACCGTCGCTCTAATTCCCCACCCATGAGTGTTATGTACTCATTTTGGCAGCCATAAATACATAGATTTGAGCAAAATAGGAGTGAAAACATCACAATTGGCATTTTGACCTTATGCATTGTGGTCAGTCTAAGGATCTCTTGTGAGCCAACTTGTAAAATATGAAATGAGTGATAAAAAATGAAAGCAGTAATTGAAGCATTTATTTCAGAATCCAATCATACGTATCTAAATAAACTTGGAAATTTATATACTCCACCCAGTAGTATATGATTTAATTTGGATTGAGATCTTTTGCGTTATGGCAAAGTACCTTATCTAAATAGAGGGCAGGGATAACCTAAATAGACCCACTCATCTTTTCTCATTGATTTTTTTATCAGATGACTCAAAATGGGCAGGCACCCCTACTTGGAGTATAATGCCAAAGCAAGGCAGATGAGCTGAATCCATTTCATTTACACCCCTACCTGGAGTATAATCAACGAGCCCTGCAGGCTGCATTCGCAGCAATGCTTGGACAACGAGGGAAAACAGCAACTCTGGACAGCAGATGCTCGATCATCTATATATCAAGCAAGCTTTATGAGGATATTTTGAGACAGTTATCACAAGGATTGGAACCATTTCTGCAAGCACTGCGGTTAATCAACTCCCCAAAGTGTCCAACTAATGCTTGCCGACGGCATTCATTCTGCAATTTTGAACAAGTCACAATACTGGGTAGATATCATATTACTCCCAAAGATGCAATTGAAAAAATGAAGGTGTTCTTCAATTTCGGTTAAAACCAACTCGATCAAAACAAAACAGAACCTGAATCAGAATTGGTAACACAGTTTGTGTTCTAATTCTGACCTGTTACACGATTAGGCCCCAATTTGTCAAAAAGTAAAAAATAAAAACTCCATGCTTTGTTACCATCCGTCACTTCAGAGTTCGGAAACCCAAGAAAGCAAGTCTGAAAGCCCCACAACTCTTGTTTCTGATGTTTTGACTATGAATGTTACTGACTATACATTGGGACATCAAGTGTGCCTTCTTAATTTGGTCCATGTTGACTCAGTTGACCCACACTGATTGGCGGACCCCTGGTGAAGCAGTAACCAAAATAGGTCTAGTCCCAATTCCATTAAAAAGAGAAACATAGTCTCTCCATTTGGTCCGGTGAAATTTAATCGAATGAGCTAGGATCCCACTACAATTTTCTTAATATGTGTTTTTGAAATAAATCAAATGAAATGCGCCTTCATAACTTATTAGGGTACAATGATTATTTATCTTTATTTTAGCCATTTTATCAACAACAAAAATAAATGGTAAGTTTTGAACTATTTTTTGTGTCTTTAGAGGGTTCATCTACAAACAATGGGTTAGTAGTTTTAGACCTCGTTTGGTGACCCTGTTTTTTGGCTTATCTGGCTTATCAGCCATCTTTTTCACCAAACACATAATTTTTTATTTTATGCACTGAATTGTGTAAAAATAAGAAAAAGTGAGGTTGTATACTTTTCTGGCTATATTGGCTGAAGTTACTATAGAAGATCATTTTAGCTATTTTTTCATATAATTTTTTCTTTGTTTTTTAATAAAATATATTTTTAATACTCCGTATAATTTTTTCAAATCAGCAGAATCAACCAATCCAGCCACTCCGACGAGAACTTCATAAATTTCAGCAGAATCAGCAAATACAGCCCGATTTAGGTATTACCAAACGCCCTCTTAAAATGAATATGAAGTATATTACGCAGTATATACAGAAATGATAAAACTGATGGGCAAAAAAATAGAAGCACCAGTCTGACTGTGCATTTCTTGGGAAAGCCTAAAAGGAGAGAGCACCTTTAGTTCACAGTAGCTCTGCATCTTCCTAGCTTGATCCATAGCCAACTTCAAGCTTTCCCTTCTATATCCTTGACCGCTTCTTAACATGCATACCAACCGGCTGAAATCCTTCTTCTGATATAAAACAACACATGTTGCAGGGAGGTTATCCCTCCCTGCCCTTCCCGCTTCCTGATAATAGCTTTCAATTGATTTGGACATTGTGTTGTGAATAACAAACCGCTGGAAAGTTAAAGCATAATAGGTTATCTGAACCCTGAGATTAAGATCATAACAAACTAGTGCCTTTATTCCTAGCCTTTAATTTCAATTGGAGGGATTCAGCCTTATTCATATAACCATATTAATATTTCCCCATGCTTTTTACATGAGAGGATAAGTTCACATGATGCATTGGGAACAGATATTCTCATATATGGTAAACAACAAAAGAAATAATGTGGAAAATCAAATGCTGTGAATGAACAAGATAATAGAGAAATTGTGTACGAGACTATTAAGGTCAGTTTGGATGACCCAGTCTATACTCTTGATGTATATCTAAGATTTTATGAGTTGAAAGAATGGCATAGTATGTGATCATACATGACATTTATATCACCTTTGAGTTGTTTCTAGAAATATTTTACTCATCAAGATATAGACCAAGTCCTACAAAGCCTCCCCCTCCGGAATTTTCTATACAGACGGACCCTTGTGAAATTAGAAAAATCAGAATAGAGACTCACAACATCAGGTTTGTCTATTCCCATCCCAAAAGCAATAGTGGCACACACAACATCAATTTCTCCAGCACGCCAACTCCTTTGAGCTGTGACTCTCTGACGTGCCGACAACCCAGCGTGATAATATGTGGATTTAATCTTGCACTTTTCGTTCAAAAACTTCGAAACCTCCATGCACTCACTTTTTGAAAGGCAGTAAATAATCCCACAAAGTTTCTTGAATCGATTGGCTAATACTTCTCCAAGCTGCTTTAGCGGCTCCTTGCCCTTTCCAATCACTTCATACTTTAAGTTTGATCTATCAAAACTCGTCTCAAGTACAAGAGCACGAGGGATATTTAAGATCTTCAAAATATCCTGCAAAATGAAGCATCAGAGTAGAAACTTCAGATGGGTTTTTTATGCATGTTTGTGATGGCTTACAAAAAAACGTTTTTTTCCAAACAAGTGCTCTTTAGAAAGAGCCAATTTGATGCTTCTTAGTTCAAAAGTGTTTCAAACGCTATAGCAGCTAAAAATTGATTATTATCAATTCAGCAAATCACTATTATTTCATTAATTAATTAATAATAGCATCAATATATTGGTAGGAAATTTGGAAAACGTGCTTTTGTCAGATCCAGAAGCAAGGCCAGGCTGACTCTCTGATTCACGCATGAAAATTATAGAGAATTTTTTTCCTTACTTCACGCACTGTGTGGGTTGCTGTAGCAGTTAATGCCATCACAGGTACATATGGGAAGTTTCGCTTGAGACAACTCAAGAGTCTATAATCTGGTCTGAAATCATGTCCCCATTGGCTGAAAAAACATAGAAAGCAAAATAAAAACTTTATCAGACTGCCCAGCAAACCAAGTCACATTATAGTGCGACTGTGAGATTGAAATCTTGGATCTAAATATAATTTTGACTACTGTTTTTTTTCTTGATTTTATAAATGCAATGTGCAATTCACTTGAACTTTATAGACCAGTGCAGTATTTTTTGGAAAATTACTGTTATAGTTTCTTAAATTTTCTGATGCCAAGTGCATGCAAATGATTTATCACTCATTTCATTCCTTTAAAATTACTGTATATATGAGCTGGTACATTATTTAACTGTGAGGCATACCTTACACAATGTGCTTCATCAATGACAAACCCAGCTAAGTTTCCCTGTATTTTGTATAAGAAAATGTGAGAAACATCATCTGGGATTCAAATGGATTGTCAAGTGCATCAAATTGGAAATTGGCATTCATCACTGCATTAAAGAAATACCTTCCTGTGTAGGGAAGTAAGCACCTCTTGAAAATGTAGGTTTCCAACTATCCTCTCAGGAGTTGCATAAAGGAGCTTACATGAAGGTTTATCTTTCCTATAAGTTAAATAATAATAAAACTTTAGTAATTAAACTCGACTATTATATTGAATCACTGCCAAGATTCTTTATGAGACCCATAGAAACACAGTTTCAAAGAAGCAACGTCAACTACAATGTAGCACCAGGGAGCTACAGTCAAGCATGTGTGGAAAGTTGGAAGTGGTCTTGCACCAATATAAAAAAATTCACGCGTATTCCATGCACAAACACCTGAAAGACTACATAGACAGATCATTTTAACGGTTCAATTTTTCCATATCCTCTCTACATTCTTCCTAAGGACTTGGAAGCCTTTTCATGAGTTCTGCATGGATGTTTCAACAGAACATCATCAACCCCTAACATCACATAAATTTTAAAACATAATCCCTCCATCCCACTCAAAAACGCAAATCACATTTTAAGATGTTTGATTGATCATGAAATTAATTCCCGACTGTTAGACAGACTAAAAGATAGTCGGTTATAAGTTTGTTCCTATTATTAGTTGACTTAGTTTAGTCTGTTGAGCTGAGCTTTGTATGACCTGGCCAGTCTATAAATACCTTGTATCTTCTTCCAAGATTAATAAGATCAGCTTACAATTCTCTTTCTTATCTTTTCTAATATGGTATCAGAGCTTTGCTCGATCCATTAATGGCGATCACAACAGAAACCACAGATTCAACCTCCAATTCTTCTTCCACCTCTAAAACATCTCCAATAACCTTTACGCATCCTCTTCCAGTAAAACTAGATTCTAACAATGTCCTTTTCTGGAAATACCATGTCGAATCAGTCGTACGTTCTCACAAACTGCTTCGATACCTGGTAAAACCTAACATTCCAGTTCGATTTCTCAATCGCGAAGATGAATCTAATGGAATCGAGAATGAAGCATATATCACCTGGGAACAACAAGACCAAATGCTTTTCTCATGGCTTCTGGCGTCTCTATCTGGAACTTTTCATGCTAGAGTCATTCACTGCAGGCACTCGCATCAGCTATGGACTGAAATAACGAAGTATTTTCACTCGAATATCATCGTAAAAGCAAGACAGCTTAAATCCGAGCTCTATAATACTGTTAAAGGTGATCGCTCAATCTTAGCTTATCTTCTACGCATACAAACTGTTGAAATATAAACTACAAAATATAATATTGAAGAGAGGAGGGAAGATTTTCTGTGTATTTCTTTGAAGGGTAAGGCCCTATAAATATAGATTACAAAGATAGAATATTCCTATAAAATAATACTATATATGGTAAATTTTTAATATATTCTAAAGCATATTCTAAAGTATATTCTAATATACTTTCACACTCCCCCTCAAGTTGGAGCATAGATATTTATCATGCCCAACTTGTTACATAAATAACCAACTAGAATTCCATTTAGTGCTTTAGTGAACAAATCTCCAAGTTGTTCCCCAGTCTTCACATATCCTGTAGACATCAATCCTTTTTGTATCTTCTCTCGAATAAAATCACAATCGACCTCAATATGCTTTGTTCTCTCATGAAATACAGGATTGTTTGCTATGTGTATAGCAACTTGGTTATCACACCACAATTTAGCAGGCATTGATGTTTTCAGTCCGAGCTCGATCAATAAATGGCATATCCATATGATCTCACATGCAGATTGTGTCATAGCTCGATATTCTGATTCGGCATTTGAACGAGAAACCACATTCTGCTTCTTACTCTTCCAAGATACAAGATTACCACCAACAAAGACACAATAACCAGATGTAGATCTTCGATCATCTTTAGAACCGGCCCAATCAGCAAAACATTCTATTCTCATGTGATCATGGTTTTGATAAACAATACCTCGTCCTGGTGCACCCTTTAAGTAACATAATATGTGTTCTACTGCAGCCCAATGATCAATGGTTGGAGATGACATGTATTGACTCACTACACTCACAGAATAGGCAATATCTGGACGAATGACTGCGAGATAATTAAGCTTTCCAACCAGTATTCTATATCTTTCTGGGTCTTCAAACGGTGTGCCTTCTTGAGTGAGTTGCACATTGGGTACCATGGGTGTTGTACTTGGTTTTGCCCCTAATTTCCCTGTCTCAGCTAGTAAGTCAAGTACATATTTACGTTGAGATTGAAATATGTCTTTCTTACTTCGTGTTACCTCAATTTCCAAAAAGTATTTCAAAGAGCCAAGATCTTTTGTCTGGAATTGACTATGCAGAAAATTCTTAAGGGCCAAAATACCTGCATTATCACTCCCTGTAATCACAATATCATCAACATACACCACAAGCAATGTGACACCTGATTCTGTTTGTTTGTAAAAGACAGAGTGATTTGATTTGCCTTTTATCATTCCAAATTGTTCAATTGATTGACTGAATTTCCCAAACCATGCACGAGGACTCTGTTTCAGACCATAAAGAGATTTGTGAAGTCGACAAACTTTACCATACTCCCCCTGAGCAACAAATCCCGGAGGTTGCTCAATATAGACTTCTTCCTTAAGGTCACCATGCAAAAATGCATTTTTAATGTCCAACTGATGTAAGTGACAATCATGAGTTGCAGCGAGTGAAATAAGTAACCTGACAGATGTTAATTTAGAAACAGGAGAAAAAGTGTCAGAATAATCAACACCATAGGTTTGAGCATAACGCTTCGCAACTAATCGGGCTTTCAACCGAGCAACAGATCCGTCTCGGTTAACCTTAACAGCAAAGACCCACTTACATCTAATAGATTTCTTCCCTGTAGGCAAGTCAACCAAATCCCAAGTACCATTAAGATCTAAAGCATTCATTTCCTCTACCATGGCATGACGCCATTCAGGATGAGACAAAGCTTCTTTGACAGATTTGGGAACAGAAATAGAATCAATGGAAGCAATAAAAGAACATGAAGCAGGAGATAACTGATTGTACGACACAAATGAAGAAATAGGATGAGTGCAAGATCGTGTACCTTTACGTAGTGCTATTGAGAGGTCAAGATCTGATGTGGAGATAAGATCTGAAGATGCAGGTACTGGTTCAGGACATGAGATCGGAGTCGAACTAGTATCAGGATAAGTAATCACAGGTATCGGCGGTGGAGGGTGATCAGGTGCTTTGTGTCGACGGGTGTATACCAAATGTACGGGAGGCCTAGGGTCAGGAATAGTAACTTGTGGAATATTTTTCGAAAGTGTGGACTCGGGAATAGTCATCGTGTAAATGAGTATATCATCATTACTCTCATGAATATCTGCCTTAGATGATGAAAAAGGTGTATCTTCATGAAATGATGCATCAATAGAAACAAGATACCGACCAGTACTCGAACAAAAACATCTATTCCCCTTTTGGACTCGAGAATAACCCAAGAAAATACATTTTAATGATTTGGGATCTAACTTTGTAAGATGAAGATTAACATCTCTAACAAAACAAGTGCAACCAAATATTTTAGGTGGGATAGGAAAAAGCTCTTTGTTTGGAAATAGACAATGATAAGGAGTTTTACCATTCAAAACAGAAGATGGCATTCGATTTATCAAAAAAAATGCAGTAGACACGACATATGCCCAAAACTATTTAGGCACATTCATTTGGAATAGAAGAGCCCTTACAGTTTCTAACAGATGTCGGTTCTTTCATTCTGCAACTCCATTTTGAGGAGGTGTGTCAACGCATGAAGTTTGATGAATAATGCCATGTTGAAGCATAAATGACTTAAATGTAGGAGATATATATTCTTGGGCATTGTCTCCTCTTAACACCCGAACAGGAACGTTAAACTAATTTTTAATTTCAGCACAAAAGGAAGAAAAATGAGTGAACAACTCAGATCGACGTTTCATGAAATACAGCCATGTCATACGAGAATAGTATCAACAAAGGTAACAAAATATTTAAAACCAGCTTTAGACACAACCGGGCAAGCACCCCAAACATCAGAGTGAACAAGGTCAAATGGAGCATTTGCTTGTTTATTAACTCGCGGGCTTAAGCTAGTACGATGGTGTTTCGCAAATTGACATAACTCACATTGTAAAGAGGTCATCTTATTAAATTGGGGATTTATTTGCTTCATTAATGGGAGAGATGGATGTCCTAATCGGTAATGAGCATCTAACAAAGTCCCAACCCCAAGACAAGAGATACCTTTTGTGATGGATGTATCCAAAATATAAAGATCAGCTAACTCATGTCCTTTACCAATAATCTGCTTCGTTAAAAGATCCTGAAACACACAATATCCAGGAAAAAATGTTACAGAACAATTAAAAATACGAGTGATTTTACTGATGGAAAGAAGATTAAATGCAAAATTAGGAAGACTCAAAACAGGCAATAATGGTAATGTAGAAGTTGGAACAACAGTACCAGATTCAAGAACGGATGAGGTAGATCCATCAGCTAAAGTGACACTAGAAATAGGTAAATATGAATGAAATGACAAGAATAGACTAGGATTACCGGTCATATGATCTGTGGCACCTGAGTCAATGACCCATTTCGAGGATGATGAAACAAGATTGTGTTTGAAATACCTAAATTCATGGTTGCCGAGATAGGGACATATGAATGCTTTAGTGTAGAAAATGTTACATTTAATTGTTATTATTAGATAGTGTACGTGTGTAGTTGTAGATAAGATTACAGAGTAGATTAGACTGCAGTTATTAGTAGATAAGTATTGTTGTTGTATATATCCTATTTTTTAGGATCTTCATAGGGAGTTTGTTTACTGTACTCTATATATATATATTCAGGCCGTATGGCTCAATAAATTCAAGGAAGATTAATTCCTAAAACCTACATGGTATCAGAGCCTCGGTTTACACATCACGATGGTAGAAACCACAGATTCTGATTCATCCCACATTACCAACCCTAACTCCCAAATTAACCCTATGACAAATTACCAATCTCCTATTCATTCATCTATGCTAATTACCAGCCATAGATTGAATGGAAAAAACTATTTGGAGTGGTCTCAATTTGTAAAGCTCGCAATTGATGGGAGGGGAAAACTGGGGTACCTCGCAGGAGAAATCAAACAAAAAATTCCTGGAATGGAAGGCTACAGCACATGGAAGTCAGAAAACTCACTTATCACAGCCTGGCTCCTGAGCTCCATGGAGGCTCCAATTGCAAAACCTCATATGTTTATGAAGACAGCAAAGGAGGTCTGGGACTCCATAAAAGAGACTTACTCAGGTCTTGAAAATTCTTCTCAAATTTTTGAGTTAAAAACCATTCTCTGGCAGTCCAAATAAGGAAATAAAGATGTCATCTCTTACTACAATGAGATGGTATCTCTATGGCAAGAATTGGACCAATGCTATGATGATGAAGAATGGGAAAGTGCCACAGATCTGGCAAGACACAAAAAAGGGGAGGAATTAATAGGGATCTGGATGAAGTGAAGGGAAAAATCCTTGGAAAGAAACCTCTGCCCTCAATCAGAGAAGTTTTTTCTGAGATAAGGATGGAGGACAATAGGAAGAAGGTTATGTACAATACTCCAGTACATAACAATGATGAGCCAGGGGAGTCCTCAGTTATTACTACAGACTAGGTCACCCTAGTTTCTACTATTTAAAAAAGTTGTTTCCTCAGTTGTTTCATAATAAAAACCCTTCACCATTTCATTGTGATATGTGTGCACTTACAAAACATCATAAGAGTTCTTATATCCCTCATAGTTACAAGCCTACTAATCCTTTTACTCTTGTGCATAGTGATATTTGGGGTGCATCTAGAGTTTCTACCTTGAAAGGACAAAGATGGTTTGTAACTATTATAGATGATCATACATGAGTAACATGGGTTTTTCTGATTAAAGAGAAATCTGAAGTTGAAAATGTGTTCAGAAAATTTTACTCAATGGTTCAAACTCAATTCAATACCAATATCAAAATGGTAAGAAGTGATAACGGCCGAGAGTATTTTTCCCAAAATTTGAACAATTTTTTTTTACTGAAAAAGGGATTATTCATCAAAGTTCTTGCATAAACACACCTGCTCAAAATGGAATAGCTGAGAGGAAAAATAGGCATTTACTTGAAGTCACTCGTGCAATCATGTTTTCAACAGAAGTTCCAAAATATTTATGGGGAGATGCTGTTTTACATGCCACCTATTTAATTAATAGGATGCCATCAAAAACTCTAGGATTTAAAACTCCTATTGATACACTTCAGAACTGTTTTCCTAAAACCAGAATTATCAGTTCTCTTCCTTTAAAAATTTTTGGTTGCACAGTGTTTATTCACAACCCTGACAAAACTGCAAGTAAACTTGATCCTAGGGGTAAAAAATGTGTTTTTAGGACTGTCTCCAACACAGAAAGGATATAAATGTTTTGATCCTACAACAAAAAAGATGTTTGTAACAATGAACGCTAGTTTTGTTGAGAATCAGCCCTTTTTAGTACTCATCTTCAGGGGGAGAATTCAAGTGAAGATGGTAACAATGTATTGCATATCCATGAAAATCTTGAGTTTCTTGACATTAATCTAGATGCACATCATACTAAAGACTTAGATGCATCAGAAAATGGTCAAGAAATAGAAGAAAATGAAATAAATATAACTGAAACAAGGAAAGAAAATGAACTGCAGACAAGTAAATTTTTTGGCAAGGTTTATGAAAGGAGAGTTCCAAATCAAAGAATAGAGGACATCTCTGATCCTGCAACTGCTCATGAATCTGACTCATTGACAGAAAATGGAAAAGGTAATAATTTCAGTAATCTTGACTTACCGATTGCTCTCAGAAAAGAGAAAAGGTCATGTGTCAAATATCCTATTTCAAACCATGTTTCCTATTCTAGATTATCCTCTACATTTGCAACCTTTTCTTCTATTGTCTCTTCTATTTCTATCCCATCAACCATACAGGAAACTCTATCTAAACCCAAGTGGAAGAAAGCTGTTTTGGAAGAGATGGATGCTCTTGAAAAAAATCAGACATGGAAGATTGTGGAGCTACCTAAAAACAAGCCCACAGTGGGATGTAGATGGATTTTCACTCCTAAGTTCAAGGCAGATGGCACGCTTGAGAGATATAAGGCAAGATTAGTTGCCAAAGGTTATACACAAACCTATGGCATAGACTATACCGAGACCTTTGCACCGGTTGCAAAGTTGAATACTATCAGAATTCTGCTATCTCTTGCTACTAATTTAGACTGGCCTCTTCAACAGTTGGATGTGAAGTATGCTTTTTTAAATGGGAAACTTGAAGAAGAAGTTTACATGAATCCTCCTCCTGGATTTGAAAACAGGTTTGGTTCAAGAGTATGTAAGCTAGAGAAATCACTGTATGGACTCAAACAATCTCCAAGGGCCTGGTTTGACAGGTTCACACAGTTTGTTAAAAAACAAGGATATAAACAAGCTCAAGCTGATCATACTTTATTTATAAAATGCTCAAGTAAGGGGGAGATTGCTATATTAATTGTCTATGTAGATGATATTATCATTACAGGAGACTTTTATAGTGAAACACAAAGCCTGAAGGAGAAACTTGCTTCTAAATTTGAGGTCAAAGATCTTGGAGAATTGAAATACTTTCTTGGCATGGAGATTGCCAGATCAAAAGAAGGAATTATTGTATCCCAAAGGAAGTATGTTCTGGATCTTCTTCAAGAAACAGGGATGAGTGCATGCAAACCAGCTGACACTCCTATTGACCCTAATCAGAAGTTGGGAGATTTCAAATAGGGAGTTCCAGTCAATACTCAACAATACCAAAGATTGGTGGGAAGATTAATATACTTGGCACATACCAGGCCAGACATTGCATTTGCAGTTAGTTTGGTTAGCCAGTTTATGCACAATCCAGTCCAAGAACATCTTGATGCTACCTACAGGATTCTAAGGTATCTGAAAAGTTGTCCAGGGAAAGGATTATTTTTTAAAAGGGGCAACAGTAGAACTGTTGAGGCCTTTACGGATGCAGACTATGCTGGCTCAGATAGTGATAGAAGATCTACTTCTGGATATTGCACCTATGTGGAGAAATCTGGTGACTTGGAGAAGTAAGAAACAGAATGTAGTTGCTAGAAGTAGTGCAAAATCTGAATACAGGTCTATGGCTAATGGAATTTGTGAACTACTTTGGATCAAGAGAGTGCTTTCAGAATTAAACATGCAGATGGATCTACCTATGAAGTTGTATTGCGATAACAAGGCATCCATTAGTATTGCTCATAATCCTGTGCTACATGATCGTACTAAACATATTGAAGTGGACAAACACTTTATCAAGGAAAAGATTGAAGCTGGAATTGTGTGCACCCCATTCATACCTACTAAAGAACAGACAGCTGATATCTTCACAAAAGGATTGTTCAGACCAGTGTTTGAACTACTTATAAGCAAGTTGGGAATGTACGATATATATTCACCAACTTGAGAGGGAGTGTAGAAAATGTTACATTTAATTGTTATTATTAGATAGTGTACGTGTGTAGCTGTAGATAAGATTACAGAGTAGATTAGACTGCAGTTATTAGTAGATAAGTATTGTTGTTGTATAGATCCTATTTTTTAGGATCTGCATAGGGAGTTTGTTTATTGTACTCTGTATATATATTTAGGCCGTATGGCTCAATAAATTCAAGGAAGATTAATTCCTAAAACCTACATTTAGAGATTCTTGGTAGCAAATAAATTTGGCATACTCGTCTGAAGAAATAGCAATTGATCCATCAAATGAATTGGTAGCGGAAGCAAGATGAGGAAGCTGATTTCCTTGATTTTTGAACAGCAATTTTCTACATTCTTTGAGCAGGTGCCCGGGCTTCTTGCAGTAATTGCATATTACTCCTCTGTCAAATGGACCCGTACAAGACATTTTTTTCCTTTTTTTTTGATTTTTTTTAAAATAAGTAAATAAATACAGCTAATTAAGACTTACTAACGGCAACTCAATAAATTATACGAAGTACTCTTAATGCAGCCCTTCCTAATGCCGACCAGCTCAACAAGTCTCAAATCCCAACCTTATCAACAGTGTACGAATAAATAGACAAAATATATATGCAGCCCCTTCCAGTATCTGCTACGCCAACCCTCGAGAAGCCTGTGGATCCAAAAGCTTGCAGATCGAAAAAGAAATGGATTCGCCTGGAAGATAATACTCAGGCGACCTAGATGGGGATTTCCGATCACAAATCTAGTCAGCTATGAAGCTTCACTCGCCGGCGATGCGGCAGCCAAGAAACCCTTT